TTTCCCCCCCCCCCCCCCCCCCCCCCCCCCCCCTTGCGATGACCAGACACGAATGACCACCCCGACCCGGAAGCAAAGAAAGGAATACTGTCTCTCTCTCTGTACGACGACCGACGATTGACGACCGACCGACGGCATGGGCGTACCGGACCTCAACCTCGGATGATGCATCGATACCCCTCCACCCCACCGCGCCGGCTTCGCGTCTACCAACACCTCGTCCCGTCGTCTTCTTCGCGAGACGGGTCGGGTGGATCGCACACCTCGTCGGTGTGTTCCCTACCTTTTGATGTTTCACGTTCCCATCCTCTTTTTCACTGTGTTGTGTCTTTTTGGTGATTCGGTGCGGCCTTGCGGGATAGTGCTCTATCATTACTCTTAGTTCTTCCCTCGTCTATATCGAAACCCCTCTCCCTCGTCTATATACCTATTTATTATCTTCATTCCCCCGTCAAACGGATGTAATGCGTCGTCGCCGTCTCTTGAAAGTCCCTTTGTTCGTCCGTGACTGATTTTTTGAGGCTTCGCTGTCACCATCTCCCCCTGGAGGACTGTCAATTCTTTTAGCACACATCCGAACGTTTTTTAGCATATATGCATCATGCAAGCTCCGTCAATGTGTGTTCACGTCGCTGCGAACTGAGATGGGTTGACTAGTTGACTGAGCGTACGCGCCATGCATATGCATGCTCGTCGACGTTCACGCGTGCGAACGCTCCAAGGAAGGAGGGCTCGTCCTTGCTCCCGCTTGAATCCGAGCTTTCGGAATCTCCTCAAATCTCCCATTGTGCCCTCGCTTTGGGAGATCTTCGCTTCTCGTCAACCACGATATGCGCGATCGCCCACGCCGCAAGATTAGACGACCGAATCTAGCAGAATCTGCTCACGAGCCTTGGCCATGAGGCTAGTGGCAATATTGCGGCAGCGACGGCTCCGCATTCCATGCTCTCGGAGAAACGTGTTAGCTCTGTCCATTTATATTCGAGAAACGTTGCAGATGGACGATGTACCCCCCCTTGGTATCGCGATATGTCCAGGACGACAAGCGTGCGCGGTGCTTTGGACCCGGTCTCCAGCGAAGATGATGAGATCGTCGAGGTCGTGCCGTCTATCCCGCTCGATATCCTGATCCCTTCGGTTTACTGGCATACGTGGAAGGAATTCTATCACAGCAAGAAGACCGTGGCGCGCGATAAACTCGCAGCTCTGGCCGGTCCTTTGCCTGATGCCCCGCCTCCGCTGCTGCCTGCCGACTGGGACCTCGTATCCGGTGTGCCGGGCACGGAGTCCGCTACGACACTTGAACCGGAGATACTGGACCTCAGGAGCTCGCTCACTCTGCAGCCGCACGAACGCTATGAGATGATCGCTCCTTCTAACGTGAACATCGCTTGGCGGCCGCTGGAACTCGATTACTCGACGACGCTCGCGTTCATCCCGTACGCAGATGATCCCGACTTCGAGCAAGAAGCATACGTTTCTGTCTTCCCGAAACTACTTTGGATGGACGATATGATAGATCCCGATCGTAAGCACCGCCGCTCGGGGACTACCTGACCCTTCCCCGAATTGGTCGCTGACGATCCTCGGGCGCCATGACGGTACTCACCCTAGACGAAATCATTCAGTACGAGACGCTACGGCGGCTCGTGCTTCGACATAGGCTGAGTATGGACACAGTGGACGAGGCGGGGATTCTGCCGCCTCTCCGGAGCAACGCGGAAGGCGGTCTCTTATGGGATGTATCGCAACGGTCAGCTCCGTGCTGTCCTCGAGGCAGCGCTGTTGATGTATCTACAGCGACCTGCTACCGTGGCCAGGCGATCCCGTGTTTCCGGACGCGCCACTTCCCGCGCGCACATACTTCCCGGATGCCATGGATCTCCCTGGCAGGACGGAATGGCTGCGTCGCCACTTTTGTCCGAACTTGAACTGCCTTCAATTTCGGTGCTTGACGCACGGTACGCCTCAACTCCGTTGGACTGATGTTGAACGTTGACACGAATCCGCATTTTGATCGTAGTCGACACCGGCTTCGACCCACGCGTCAAGAAGCCGACGATAACAAATGCAATGTGGCTCGAACGTGCCCCGGATATGGAGTCCTGCGGTTCAGAGTGCTTTGCTCTGAGAACGTTTGACCCTGAAACCATGGCAGTATGTGTATCCCGCTATACGAAGATGCGTACTTGCATAACGCAAAGCCGTGCTGTAGCAAACGCTTGAATGGGAGGAAAGTGCTGAAGAAAGCCTCGAGTTGCTTCTGCGGCAAGAACCTGATGCCACACCATGCAATCTCTCCCTGCTTTTGAGGCAACCATGCAACGAAGTGTTCTATCAGCGCACAAGGATTTACCCAGACGATCACATCCTTGCTGGCATGGAGGATGGTTTGTTGGTCGATGGTCGTACGTCCCAAGAGGCTGAACAAGAAAGACGTGAAGCAAGGGAGAGGAGGGAGAAGGATGTCTTGCGTAATCGTGAGCCGTTTGTGTACTTGTTCCGGTCACGGACCTCATTGGTTTGCATGGCCTACAGGTGGACGCACGAATCAAATGTACGGACCGGTGGATGTCGTTCGAGCGTATCCTTGGAGTAATGAATCGCGTTTTAGTGGCAAAACTGGCACATTGGTGATGTGCAATCACCCCGGACTCCGCTGCAAAGATGACGCCCAGGAGATCATTTGTCAGTGCGTACTCGAGGGGGTGCATTGCGGAAGTCGATGCGCTTGTGACGAGATGTGTGAGTACACGCTGCGACTTCTGAGCTCGCGTGCACGTTCACTACTTTATAAACAGGCAACCGACGATGGCTTGATGTGCAGACAACGGACGAGGTGCAGATGGTACGAGAGACCATGTATGCGCCCCTCTACCTTCCGCCCGACAGCGTCTGAGACATGGGCGTATCTGCTAATGACTCACAGTGAAGCACGATGCGAGCACGAAGGACTATGCAGCATCGAGAACAATTGTCAATGTGCGCTCGCTTCTATACACTGCCAGCGAAGCTGTTACTGCAATGGACACAACTGTCAGTACTTCCGCCGATGGTCTGGCGCCCGGACTTAAGATGTACATGCTTTGCATAGGTGGAAGGAGGTGGAAGGGCTGTACATGTAGGCGAAAGGGCAAAGAAAATGGCAAAGACACGCAGCTGCCATGCGAGCACAATAGCTCCTGCCCCTGTGACAAAGCGGGCATGGAATGTGACCCAGAGGTGTGCAAGTCCTGCGATAGTGGGTACGTGACATCAACCTTGCCACGGCTCTCACTATATCTCATTGCCGTCAAGCGGAAAACGTCTGTGTCGTCTCTTGACATATGGTACTTAGGATATTGGGAGCTAAGGCCCGATTCAGATAGGGGCAGACATTGCCAAAATTCAAACATCCAACGGCAGATACAAGAGGTTCGTCTCCCGCTTTGGGTATACGTGTATGGCCGCATCAGTTCATACTGTTCTTGGCATAGCCGCTATGCATCAAACCTGGCTTATATGGCTTGGGTGCATTCAGCACTTCAGCAATCCCTAAAGGAAGATTCCTCGGGGGTACGCCTCTCTTCGCAAACGTTAGCCGACTCCTGCTGAGTGTCAGCTGCTTGTAACCAGAATACACAGGCGACCTCGCGAACCCCGCCGAGCAGGAGGAAGCTGCGGAGTGAGTTATCCTTTTTCGGCACATGATCTCGAGTCGGGCGATGTCAGCCATTGCGCCGATCCTTTAACTCATCTTATTCAGAATCCTCGAGAAATATGGGATGAACTACAAATTTTCACTCACGGAAGACCGGCATACAGTGGATGCCGCTACGGTAGGCAACGAGACGCGCTTCCTCAACCATCGTTCGAAAAATCCGGACGTTGTCGCGCGAAGTATGTTGAACATATTTTATCGTTTTGTGTCAAAAGCCATTGACCGGGTTATATAGTCGTGCTCGTCAATAATGTTCTTCGTATAGGCTTCTTTGCAGGTACGTACTCTGATTAAATTTGGACCAAGTAGCTGATGGTGTGTATGCTAGAGAGAAATATCAAAGCGGGGAAGGAGCTTTTCCTCGATTATGGCGAGGGGTTTTTCAAACATTACCACCCGGGTTAAGATAGCAAGATATCTAGAGATGGAGATGCTGAATTTGAGGAAGACAGCGAAGCTGATGAATTGTGTGGTTAGTCGCCGGTATGAGGGGACCTCGGTGACAAACAGACAAAAGAAAAAGTCATCTTAGTGGACAGAGAGTTCGTCGGATTGTGTACGTACGCTTACAGACGATTGAGATACTGTACGCTCTCAACTACGATATTTCAACGCACTGTTGGTGCGGCTTGTTCGCGTCTGCAAGCTGCCTTGGGCAATCGAGGGACTACAGGTTCCTGGGAGAACACGCGAATGTCTGGCACGGAAGGCTCCGCATTTTCTTCGGCGTCGGGAAGAAGGATCGCTGCGTCGGTTCTAACCAGTATTGCGATGCGACTATCTAGCAAGATCGCTGTCGACGTTGACAAACGGACAGCCTGACTGATTCGCAGTACGCTACTTTCGCCACGAAATCCTGGAGTCAACGAGTAATTAATGTGTCGATGCACTGTGTACAATCTCAAGCCGAAGAATAATCCTGGAGTGAGCTACGTTCTACCCCAGTCCGAGCGTAATGTCTATAAACTATGGCGCGTATGACCGTAACCTCTTATTAGTAACCCATCCTATCATACTTGTCCGGACGACCATTGAGATGCGTCAGCCTGGTGCCGTTGATCGTCATCGTATACCGTGGCTCCCCTTTCATCGTCGCCAGCACGCCGTTGCCAGTGAGCATCGAAGTCAATCCGATATCTGTCATCGAGCCGCCAGCGGCATCCATGATACTGCGCGCGTCGTAGTCAAAGTTTTCTGGACCGAGAGCGGCGCGCTTGCGTTCCGCAAGTTGCTTGAGTGAGTCAAGCGAATACACCGTCTTTGAAGAGCCCGCAAAGGCTTGATGCGGGAGACTCAGTATCTCCTTGGGCGTCAAGCCGAAAGATCTCTGCGCGTCGCTCTTGAATAGAACCTGCATTCATGGTCAGGACGGCCGCAACTCGATGACCGTGGCATACCGACCTTCGTGCCGATGGCGTAGGTGACTCTGCGACCTTCCGACGCGAGACCCTCCTCCCATACTTTCTTCTTCTCGCGCATCTCCTTGCGAGTCGCGGCAAGAAGCTTTTTCTCTTCCTTTTCTTCGGGCGTCAGAACGACTTTGACTCGCGGCTTCTTCAACTTGACGGGAGCGGCTTCTTCACGAGCGTATGCGCACATGGGGCGACGACCATAGCGGGGCATGATGGGTGAATGGTATGTGTTTCGAGGGGAGGCTCTCGGGGAGCTGACTCAGCTGAGGGTGTAGTCAATGATGAAGACACGCGTGAATTAGAGAAAAGTCCTGACGAAGCGCTTATAAGCGGCACAACGCGCCGACGCCCGTCACGACGCGACGGCGCAGTAGCAAAAACGCGTGACGTCGCGCGATTCTCCGATTCTCGGAGTGACGTGACGGTTCCCATTCATCCCCTTTGAACGCAAACTTTGCTTTGAGCGACCGTTGCGCTAAACCATATCGGATACACAGCACTGTCCAAATACTCGTGCTGCTCTCTTGCCTGTGCTTCCGATTCGGACTACTTTGCCAAGGAACTCGAGGTATTGAGAGCAATGAGAGTGCTGAAATCGTTTTCAAATGCTGACCATCGCGAGAGCGCGTTCTGCACGGCCATGATTTGTTCGTCCTTGCCGGCAAAGTATGGCGAGGACTCAAAATCATTCGAGCTGAGAATTGCTGGCATGCTCCCCACCCATGCAGGTCACTTCATGCTCACTCGCTCGGCTAAACAAGGCTCCCACATCACCGCTCAACGAGCCACCGAACATTGAGGATGATCGCTCGTTCGTATTTCATCGTCGACTACGAACTTCGATTGTGCACGTAGTATGTCGTTTTGTCTTATTTCTGCATGTTTTGATTGACGAACAAGCATCCACGGATCTACAGGTTCCCCTTCAAATAATCCGCAGGAGTGAATACGCATTCACCTCGACACCAAGGGTTAAGCGAGAGGTGAGACACCATGGCCGCGGTGGTCATGCGCCACAAAGCAGGGCCTGAACCACGCATGGTCGAGGAGGGCACCTTTCCTCGCTCGCCCACCGACACCTCGCTCGCCCACCGACACTCCGCTCGCCCACCGACACGAGGGCGTGGCAGATACCCTTGCTCGCCCACCGACACACCCCGGCCATGCCTTCAACGAGGGCTATAAATCCCTCACCATAAGGCTGGGTAGATGCATCCCAACCAGCCTTCACACTTCGAGTCGTAAGTCCTCTCGATTAATTCCTGAGGATCAACTCTTACGGGCTCTTCCCAGACGACTCCAGCCTCACGTACCAAAGCCAGATAAATCCCGATCCCCTTCCTTCCACTTGTAAAGTAAGTTCCGTTGACCGACCGTCTTGAAGGTGCTTCTGATGACGCTTCCGTTTCCTAGAATGTCCAACTCTAGAGAATCCTTGCACGCAATGGCGGAGAGATTTCAGGACGACAACTCCCTGAAGAAGGTTTTCATTCAAGGGGCGCTCCGCAACAAGGACTTCGCGAACGCGGACGTAGACAGACACGTTCACTTATTCTGGTTCAACGAGGACACTCCCGAAATAACCGTTATCGAAATCTTGCATCTGAGCGGTTCATGGGGCTCGCTTCAGTTCGAGCACGCAAAGCGAAGCCGCCGCGCTGACTTTGATGTGGTCAACGAGACGTACCTGCTCGGATACTTTACTCGTGCCCAGCGCGACCAGATCTGCAAGCTTGCGAAGGACGTCCAGTACAACCCAAAGTCACACGTGAACGGGTGCCGGGTTTGGATGCGCGACTTGCTCGACGCCATGATGAAAGATGCTCTCGTCAAAGCGAGCCCCCTGGCCATCGAGCACATCACCAGCAGCACTAGGATCCCTCTGCCGTTCCGTCGGCCAGAACCCCAACGCGCCAACTAGGTTGCAGTAAGTCGCTTCGTGGCCTACCATTTCGCCCATCTGACCTCGCCTTCAGGTATTCACCTCGTAGGCATGTACCTGGTGTCGTGCCTCAGTCGGACTAGATCTATCCCAAATGCCCTCCTATTGTGGAAATGTTGCTATAATTGTACTCTCATCGCTAATATGTATCTGCATGTGCTCAGGTGTTTCCTGCAGTAAAACACGACTCCGCAGTTGTAGAGGTGACAGACATTTCCAGAGCGAATTCCTTTTGTGTCGTTCAGGTACAGCAATCGCATTTTCCTGGACTAAGGCCTTGAAGGCATGACATGCATTCAGACATCCCAGAGTAGATGCTATCCTAGCTATCGTCTCCAGTCGGTGCGGACAACGTCTGAGACAAAGTTGTCGTCATGGAGCACCCGTTGAATTACGGAGAGGATTTCCAGAAGAAGCATGCCCGTGTTCAAAAGGATGCACCCTAGTCTAAGATGAAACTCGATGGAGCAGTTGACGAGGAACAGAGGAGAAGATGTTTATGGTAACCGTCATGAACCGTTACCGGTGGAGAGCGCGTATCGAGCTAAAGCCGCTTCCAACCGCCCACCGGACTGCTCTGAGTTCATCCCAGCAACGGCAGCCTCTCCTCCCTATCCTCCCGCGCCGCACCGCCGACCTTGAACTTCGTGAGCTCCGGCACGGCCAAGTCGTCGTAAGGCGCCAGGTCGTCCACGCCCGCCCGCCTCAGGTCGTCCGCCGTGAGCCAGTAGCGCCTCGGCATGATCTTGCCCCCGAACGCGCCGTCGACGTGGTTCGCGCACAAGAGCGCGACCGCGATGTTGACGACGTGCAGCGGGACGAGCGCGAACGCGGCCGCCCACGCCGCGCCCAGCGCCCGCCGCTCGAACCGGAGCAGCGGGCCCTTGCACCCCGGGAGGCGGGTGCGCGCGAAGCACGACGCGCTCGGCGCGGCCTCGTGCAGCGGGCTGTGGTAGCCGCAGCACGCGAGCGATTCCTGGATGACGAGCCGCGCGAGGGGCGTGTACCACTCGCTCCAGGCGAGGTTGAGCTTGCGGTCGAGCGCGAAGGCGGCCCGTTTGTACGCGACGTAGCCGATCGTGAGGAGCGAGACGAAGGCGGGCCAGAGGAAGAGGGCGTAGAGCGCGAGGAGCGGGCGGGAGTGTAGGAGCGTGCCGCAGAACCCGACGACGGAGGAGAGGAGAAGGATGGCGGAGGAGAGGGCGAGGAGGGCGAGGATGTCTGGGTCGGTGTAGCGGAGGACGTCGGCGTGGGTCCAGGCTACGGAGGATACCAAGTTAGGAAGTGGAAGAGTCTGGATACCTAGGATCGCTCACAATCAAAACATGTTGCTAGAAAACAGAACAGCCCGACCATGCCGTACGCGAAGACCGACAGAGAAGAGAACAGGAGACACCATTTGGAGATGTTCCAGGGCTCGGCCTCCACATTCTGTTGGGCCCGTCGATGCCTCCGCGACGGAACGAACCACCGCCATGAGATCGTCGTCGGCGGACTGGGAGGGATCAAGCGGGCAGCTGGCCACTTCGAAGTGAGCTTGTACTTGATGTCCGGCGGAAGATGGGGCGCATAGTCGTCAGAAACAGGGTGTTTTTCAGGCATCCTAGACGGGTTTCTCTTCGTATCGTCGACGCGGGGATAGGTGCGGGTAGACCGGGTTCTCCTCTGCGACTCGTAATTCGGAGGAGGCGAGCGACTTGGAATCGTAGCTTCGTCTCTCAGGTAGTCGGGCGTGGGCAGTCGCGTCGGTTCCTTCTCGATCCCGTACGGATCACCGCCGACCGCTTCCCCTTCGTCCCATTTTCCAGAGCGCGCCGAGGCTCCCGTATTGCGCCGTGACAAGCTCGCCCAAAACGCCTCCTTGTTTTCCTCCCATGTCGGGGCCGACGACGACGACGGTCGGCTCTGCTGGCAGGGACACGGGCTCGCACAAGCCTCTTCTCGAGGAGACGCAGCAGGTTGGATTTGATAAGGCGCAGATGGATCCACCAGACGATCCGAGGCCCGAGGCAGATGGGTCGACCGTTTACGGGCGGACGAGTACGAGTTCAAAGCCGACGAGCTCGACGAAGGGTACCGATAGTCCATCGGGAACGCGAGCCGGAGAGCACACCACTTTGCATCGTAACACGGCGCTCAGACACACGTTCAACATTGTGCTTTGAGTTTGACGTGAGTGAAGAGCAGCCCAGTTGACGGACTCGAGCGGGGTCAAGTTCGCGGGCGTGACCTGATGGGGAAAATCCCCTGAACAGCGAGAACGCAGGGGCCGACGATTCGTGCAGGTCTGGAATGCACCTATGGCTCTACCGGTGTGGTATGCGAAGGAATATGCATGTACTCGGTCAAACAAGACAAAAGAAAAAGAAACGACAAACGGAGTCCACAAAAAAAAAGAGCGTGCGCGTATATGCTAGATATAGTGAGGGGATGCAAACCTGTCCACGATATAAGGTCCGTAGATGCGATTTTTATTATATAGAATACACTACTGTTTCTGCTCCGAACAAGGAAAAGAGGGACGAGCCGAGGTAGGAAGAACTCAAGGGGCCGATTGGGACAGCTCGACGGGACACGGCGCGTTGGTGACGCTCGTCGCGGAGACCTTTTTGCCGATGAGGCCGAAGATGTCCATCGTCAGCACGAGCTTGAACTTGAGGCCCGGCCGCTTGCCGTCGGTGTAGAACGCCTTGTTCCTGCACGCGTCGTACCAGGTCGTCCCTGTGCCCCCGCACGCGCCATCAGCACCATGAACACAAAACAAAGAAAAACACGAGGGGGAAGACAAAAAAAAGAGGGAGACTAACACGTCGTGTCCGAGTCGTTCACGGCGACGTACGTAAAGTTGAGCGGGAGGCTGACGTGCGTGAACGTCTTGGCCTTGTACGTCTGGTGCCCGATCTCGCCCGAGGCGACCTTGAAATTCGTGTCCGTGTCGAACACCTCCGCCTTCATGCTCGTCATCCGGAGCGGGAGGAAGTTGCTGCCGGTGTCGACCTGCATGTCCGCCGCGGAGGCGAAGGTGAAGTTGGCCGGGGAGCGGGAGAAGCGGGTCGGGATCGACTTGGCGAAGGAGCCGGTGGCGTTGACGAGCGGCGTGTCCGAGTTGAGCTGGAGCGAGGGCACGCGGGGGATCGTGAACGCGAGTATGATGCCGACGCTGACGAACGTTTCCTCGGTCAGCGATCGTTCGTCCTTCGACCCCGAGCGAGTAAAGCGCGCGCAAAATAAAATAAAATAAAAAACTCACGCGACGCAGACGCCGAACATGACGAACACGAGCGTCCGCCTCGTCATGAACTGCATGCCACAGCACCCGCGCTGGTCGCGGTTCCACTCCCTCCACTTCTGGAGCGCGCTCTCCTTCCGCTCCTTCTTCTTCCCCTTCTTCGTCATCTCCTGCAGCTCGCGCTTCGACCATTCGGGACCGAGCCCGGGCACGGTGACGAGTTCGACGTTGCCGTCGCCCGTGTTGATCCCGCCCTCGAGCTGCGCCGGGTGCGCGTAGTCGCCTTCGTACTTGGTGTCGGCGAGCGTCGGCGTGGCGGGTGACGGGGTCGGGATAGGGTGGTACCTGAACGAGGACGAAAGGGGGAGGTGATGATCAGTAAAACACGTTTCAGCTACAGTACGAAAGCAGGACAGAGCGCATATATGCGCACGTCCGCGCCGCGAGAGAAGCACAGAGATATCCAAGCATTGATCGCACACCACTCACCCAGCAGCAGTGGTCTGCCCGAACGCCTGGCTGTACCTCGGCCCCGCGTTGTTGAAATCCGCGTATACGTCCCATCCCTGGTCCGCGCCGAGATCGTCTTCCTCCTGCAAGCCTTTCACGGGCTGAGTCCTAGGCCCCTGGTCAAAATACGACGCCGGCCGATTCGCGTACCCCGCGCCCGCCGGCGGCGCCGCGACGTTGCCGGTGCCAAAAAAGGTAGAGGACGAGTCCCTCCGTGCGCGGTCCGGCTGCGGGTACGACGCGGGATACTCGACGTTGAGCGCATCGCCCGAGGTGCGTGGGCGGTTGTAGAACGAGGAGACGGCGGAGCGGCGGTCGGGCTCCATCGCTGGAGTTTTTTGGTCGGGTTGGTGGGGATAAGGCCGGAGACTGTAGCTGTAGCGCCTTGCTAGAGGTCGTCGGGATCGTCGTCGAGGAAAGGAGCGAGGGAGACTCGGTGCTCGTCGCTGTGAACGGCGATGAGGGATGTGTGAGAGGTCACACGGCGCTTCGAGACCGCGGTCGGTGGGCGCCTGATTTGGCAGGCCCCGTTCCGTCATCGGGCGCTTGCTACGAACGTTGACACTCTCTACCGAGTTTCGGTCCAATGACCCTGGACTGAATAAAGCCATCTCTTTACCATTTACGGTCTGATAAAGATTGATGGAGGGGCCATGCATTTGGCATTGGACGCTCCGAGTCGTCCAACGTACCCTCTACTCTCCTGAGACAACTCCCACTATCACTGAAACCTTTGTTACATACCCATGGGCGACGAAATTCTCATCGCCATACCCGCATCGACCCTCCGACGGCGCGAGGAAGAGGCCGCACGGCGCAAGCTCGAGCAGGGAGACGTGTCCGAACACAGACAGGGCGTCGCAAGAGCACGCTGCACCGGCTGCGGGACTGAGCTGCGGGACGAAGACGCAGGGACCGGGTTCGGCGAGAACGTGCTGGACACGAGCTGCCGCGATTGCGGGTACCGAACATGTTTGGCGTGCACGGGGCAACGCCGCCGAGGCGGGCCCTCCTCTCCCATATTTTTCAACAACGGGCGATGCTCAGATGACAACCCTTTTTAGGAACGTGCCGATGCCTAAAGTCCAACTTTGACGAGAAAGTACTGCGATCTCACACCGCGTTGGCACCACGGAAGCCACCGCGACCCTCGCTCCGTTCCCAAGGTCGACGATAAGGAGCTCATCGAGCGCTACACCGGCGACCGGCACCCTGCGGACCCGGACGTGCTCGACGAATGCTACGAGGACGCCGACCGAACATGTGGAAACTGTGGACAGATGAGACGATGCCTTAAGGACGAATACAAGATGAAGGCGGAGTACAAGACAGGCTCGGCGTCGAAACGGATGGAGGAGATGGGCTTGGGGGAATAAATGGAAACAGAGCTGTTATGCTCGCATCCCCGGTACTGGTCTTGCTATCACGAACACGAGCCTTCGGAGTATGCCTTTGACGTTTGCCTTCGTGTTCGTGTTGGATGACGGACAGGACTTGTGAAGATATCGGGAGAAAAGATTATACTCGGCCGTTTCTCACCGAAGTCAGCTGCTCAGTACAGTGAAGCTTTGAAGAACGATGACCATCGCGATCTCCCTGAACGTGCAGCTCGTACATAACTCGCGCATCTGCGCGCCCATCGCTGACATAGCGTGGTCGGGTGGAGAGCAGGTCGCCGCGCCAGGATTGGCTGGCCAACGCTGATGAGCGTGGCGAGTGCTCACGTGACCGCCTCCTGCTTTATCATTCCTTCTCATCTCGCGGCGCCGTATAAATCGACCGTTTGCAGCCCTGTTCCGCTCATCCTTCTCCCGAATCGCGCCCTTGGCCTCGGCTGTACTTGTAGACATCCAGCGCGCAAAGCACACGATGGCACCCGTCACCAACGGTAAAGGCGCCCGCTCGTCCAAGATGCACTCCAAAGTCGTACGTTCGAACTCTTACCGCAGCGATCCATGGGGGGTCGTTTAACCACAAAAACATTCGCATCGCAGGTCATCATCGGCTCGGGCCCCGCAGGGCACACCGCCGCGATCTACCTCGCCCGCGCGAACCTCAACCCGGTCCTCTTCGAGGGCTTCATGGCCAACGGCTTCGCCGCCGGCGGCCAGCTCACCACCACCACCGACGTCGAGAACTTCCCCGGCTTCCCCTCCGGCATCCTCGGCCCCGAACTCATGGACAAGTTCCGCGCGCAGTCCCTCCGGTTCGGCACGCAGATCATCACCGAGACGATCACCAAGCTCGACCTCTCCCAGCGGCCCTTCCGGTACTGGCGCGAGATGCAGGAGGGCGGCGAGCCCGAGACGGCGGACACGATCATCATCGCGACGGGAGCGAGCGCGAAGCGGCTCGGGCTCAAGGGCGAGGACACCTACTGGCAGAGCGGCATCTCCGCCTGCGCCGTCTGCGACGGCGCCGTCCCCATCTTCCGCAACAAGCCCCTCGCCGTGATTGGCGGAGGCGATTCCGCGGCCGAAGAAGCGACCTGTGAGTTACCTCCTCAGTAACCCCCC